TTATTCTCAGTTGAGAATTGAAAGGGTTCGTACCCTTTAATTATTAACACTGTAGCTACAGTGTTCATTTGAGAAATCTCAGTTTTGGGATTTGCTCTTGATTTGTAATTTCTTGTTTGATTAATAAGAAATTATCTGTGTGGCTCCCGAGGACGTAGGCAGTTGCCGAACCTCGTAAATCTTGGTGTACTTTTTTCTATTCTACGTTTCTGTTGCATTAGGGATTTAGGCGTTAAATTCCCAACACTCACTAAATCACACACCACTACCCAACAATATATTGTATGAAATATAATCAAGCTCAAAGTGAGTGTGTAATAAATGAGTTTAAATGAAATCCAACTAGCAATAAGATTAACAAGAATTGAGTGCTAGAAAGATGAGTTAGAAACACTTCTCTACAAGAAGAGGATGATTGGATATTGAGGATGATTTCCTCAACAAGTGATACAAGCTCCTCCTTGTAATGCCAATTCTTTTTCAAACTAAACAAAGGCTTAAACACCTCTTTAAACACAAGATAAACTCTTTCAAACTTGATTAAGAAAACTTCTTGGGTACTTTTAAAGAGTTCAGAATATATGGGTATATATAGCATCTCAATACATCAGCTAAAGCCCAAGGAAAAAGACCAAGAAGCCCCAAACACATAAAACAGTAAACTAGCCGTTACTGTGCAACGGCTCTTTGGTAAGTCGACTTATGAGTCGACTCATGAGTCGACTAATGAGTCGACTTATATGAGTCGACTCAGCAGATAAAAATGACAATTCCACAACACTTCGTGAGTTGACTTATGAGTCGACTTATGAGTCGACTGAACGTGCACTGATCAGAAGAAATGCAGAAAAGCTAAACTTTGAACCATGTTAAAAAATATCAAACAAATTCCAAAAAATGTAAAATTTGGGAAATAGTTTATAAACATATATATGAGTGTATTCCAGAAGGAATTTTCCAAATGTGATACACTGTTTGAAAAATCTCATGGTTTTGCTAAAAACATGTAAAATGAGTGTATAATTTTCTTAGTTTTGAACAAATGAGATAAACAAGGATATGAGGCATTTTTAAATGAATTTGTAGACTTAACAAAAACTGAATATAGCTAAAATTAAGTCTATACACTGATATCTCAGTATATTTGATAAAATCACATTAAGAACAAATGTGTGTGTTATATGGATATTGAGCTTGAGATGTATTCACACGACATAAAGTCTTATGCTAGTTGTACCAAGTTGATATGCATGAGAAGCAAAATCTTGGATCTGACTGAGTTGAATGAGCTTCTACATAACTGAGGCTCCGGAGTTACTTAACCTGAAACAACACACAAATACTGAAAAACAAATTATAAATTGTTTGCAACATCATCAAAACAAGATTCAAAAGTAGGCTCATACACATGAGTCCTAAAATTCTTCATACGATGGCCAAATCAAAAACTTTTTTTTAAAGCACTGTGTCTGCAATAGTCTTGTACTCCAGTCAATCGGAAAATGTAAATAACGCATCGCGATTCACCAACAAATTTGAAACTAAAATAAATTCCATAATGAATTAGGATGTGATTGGAAATGAGAAGCAAAAAAATTACAATTCATTCTGATATATCATTTTTAATTTTGGTCATCTTTTTCTACTACTAAATAAAGTAATTTGGTTATTTTTCCTATATGACATAAATATCAAATTCACGTCAAATGGTGATATTAGTTTTCGTAATACTGCAAGTGAAAGAAAAAAACTATATCTGAGAATATGGTGCTAAAAAAAATACCAATCTAATAATTCAGCGCTTTCAAAATCACCACAATAAAACCCAAGAGTGTCTAGCCGAGTTAGCAAGCTAACTATGAGCATTATTTTAATGTCTGCTTTGACTTTTCTAGAGAGCACCCACGTGAATTTAATTTCGTGAAATACATGAGGTCGTGTGTTGGGGGTGCCCCTTAGGCCCCGTTTGGTTGCATAATAACAAGGCTGAAAGCCTGACAAAAGCTTCAGGCTTTTGTCAGGCTTTCAGCCTTTCTGTTTTGCAACCAAACGGGGCCTTAGTGACACCCAATGATTGTGAGGAAGTTCCCTCCAAAAAAGGAAAAATGGCCACAATTAGAAATTGAGAAGATAGGCTAAAGATTACCTTAAGTCTTACCCATTTTTTCTAAAAAGCTCTTAGCTTTTACCCATTCATTCTAAGAAGCCCTCAACTTTTTTTTTTAACAACTGATCCCTTAAGCTTTACCACTTTGTTCTAAGAAGCACCCAACTTTCTTTTTCTGCTAACGAAACCTCCAGCCTAACAAGAAGAATTGGGTGGGGTAAAAATGAATTGGGAGGGGTAAAAATCACGGGCTTCTCAGAAAAGATGGGTAAAACTTAGGGGCCTAGTCAGGGCCGACCATGGGCTAGGGCCGGGGGGCGCAACCGCACAGGGCCCCCACTGAAAAGGGGCCCCAAAATTTTATATAGTTCTTTAATAGTATTAAGTATTTTATGGCCTAAAATCTGACCCAAAGGAAGATCATATTGTAGGAATTCAAACCGTCAAAGCAAACCTTAGTAAATAGAGTTGGTTGAAGTCATTGAACAAGTTAGTTAATTTGACGAAAATTACGAGATTTAGTAATCAATGAAATTAAACAATCATGCCTATTTGAGCTATATATCTCCGGATCTTCTTTCTACAATATCAATCCACCTCCTCATTTTTAGTAACAAATTTTAGCCGTTTAGAATTTTTACCGTTTGACATTCACTTTTACTCCTTTATAATTAACACTAACATTAAATAATTATTAATTTCTCTCATATAATACTCCACTATAAAAAGAGATTATATGTTCAATAAAAATTAATATAAGGTTGTCTATTAAAATCATACTTGTCCATCTGCTATTTGTTCTCAAAGGCTGATACAGTGATACATTGCAACAATTTTTTTGGTGATTTGGGCATTATCGTATTCATACATTTGATCAGGTGCTATTATTCTTTTTCTTTTACTTTGTTATTCTATTGCAAATTACATTTGTTATTTGTTTTAAATTTCATATAGTTGTTTAGTTATTTGTTTATTTATAAAATGGCACCTCGAAAATATTTATGCGGAAATGAAAAAAGGAAAAAAGAAAAAACGAGAAGAAGAACTTGTTGAATCACAAAAAGGAGCTATTGATAAATTTTTATCAAGAAGTTCAAATGTTCCTATAGTTAGCGAATCAAATGAAAATTTAAGTGATGAAAATATTGTTTCAAGTGAACCTATTACTGAAAATATTATGCCAAGTGATTTAAATAATGAAAATGTAGTTGATGATGGTCAATCTTTACCGAATTTTCATAATGATAATGTTATGCCAAGGGAATTTGATCAATGAAAATCTAGGTGATGATAGTCAAGCTTTACCACATTTTGATATATATGAACCTAGCACATGGAAAAATCTTGATAACAAAGCAAGGGACATTTTAGTTGAGAAGGGATTTGAAAGAGAATTGAACATTAATTTTCCTTTAGATGAAGACCGAAGGAAATTTTCATATGCACATTATTCTAGAAAATTGAGTAATGGAGAAATTAGTGATCGAAAATGGTTGATTTACTCTAAACTTGTCGATAAAGTGTTTTGCTTTTGTTGTAAATTATTCAAATCTAATAGCAATACAACTTTATTAGCAAATGAAGGATTGAGAGACTGGAGACATTTGCAAAAGACTATCTGACCATGAAAATAGTATTGAGCATATGACTAATATGAGCTCCTGGAATGAGCTAAGACTAAGGTTGGGAAAAAATGAAACAATTGATAATGAGTTGCAAAAACAAATTATGATGGAAAAAGAACGATGGCGACAAGTTTTGATTAGAATAGTAGCCGTCATAAAATGTCTTGCTAAAAATCATTTGGCTTTTCGAGGATCTAATGAGAAGCTCTATCAAAATAATAATGGTAATTTTTTGGGAATTATTGAGTTGATCGCAGAATTTGATGTAATAATGCAAGATCATGTTAGACGAATTCAAAATCATGAAGTTCATTATCATTATCTTAGCCACAGAATACAAAATGAGTTGATTTCTCGTTTAGGCGTTAGTGTTAAAACTTCTATCATAAAGAGAATTAAAGAAGCAAAATATTTTTCTGTAATTCTTGATTGCACTCCAGATATAAGTCATCAAGAACAAATGGTCCTAGTTGTACGATGTGTAAAAATGAAATAAAAATAGAAGAGTATTTCTTAGAATTTTTGAAGGTAGATGATACATCTGGACTGGGGCTCTTTAATGAATTGTTAAATGTATTAAAACTACTTGACCTTAATGTTGATGACATTAGAGGGCAAGGTTATGATAATGGTTCTAATATGAAAGGTAAACATCAAGGTATTCAAAAAAGATTACTTAAAATTAATCCAAGAGCTTTATATATGCCATGTGCTTGTCATAGTCTCAATCTTACTCTTAGTGATATGGCACATTCTTGTGTTAAAGCTATCTCATTTTTTGGAGTTGTGCAACGTATATATTCATTATTTTCGAGTTCTACTAAGAGGTGGAAGATTTTAATTGATAATGTTCCTTCATTTACTGTGAAATGTCATAATGATGGGTTCTAGCAATCTAGCAATCTAGTTTCTCTTCCCCCTACGAATTGCAGGTCCAAGGGCTGGAAAGTGGACCTAAGCTTTTGAGGCCTTGTTTGGTATTTGGAGTGGATTCAAGTTCCTTTCAAACAAAAGCATAAATCGTGAGAAAGAGTAGAAGTATGAAAGAAACTTGATTGTTAGTACGATACCGTATGATTGCTTAATGCCAAGACTTTTAGAAGTATGTGGTGGGGGGGTGGGGGGGCTGGCTGTTGCAATTTGCAGCATTCTTCATACGATGGCCAAATCAAAAACTTTTTTTTAAAGCACTGCGTCTGCAACAGTCTTGTACTCCAGTCAATCGGAAAATGTAAATAACGCATCGCGATTCACCAACAAATTTGAAACTAAAATAAATTCCATAATGAATTAGGATGTGATTGGAAATGAGAAGCAAAAAAGTTACAATTCATTCTGATATGTGCTCATAACAAAATGATCATTTTCAATTTTGGTCATGTTTTTCTACTACTAAATAAAGTAATTTGGTTATTTTTCCTATATGACATAAATATCAAATTCACGTCAAATGGTGATATTAGTTTTCGTAATACTGCAAGTGAAAGAAAAAAACTATATCTGAGAATATGGTGCTAATAAAAATACCAATCTAATAATTCAGCGCTTTCAAAATCACCACAATAAAACCCAAGAGTGTCTAGCCGAGTTAGTAAGCTAACTATGAGCATTATTTTAATGTCTTAGCTTTGACTTTTCTAGAGAGCACCCACGTGAATTTAATTTCGTGAAATACATGAGGTCGTGTGTTGGGGGTGCCCCTTAGGCCCCGTTTGGTTGCATAATAACAAGGCTGAAAGCCTGACAAAAGCTTCAGGCTTTTGTCAGGCTTTCAGCCTTTCTGTTTTGCAACCAAACGGGGCCTTAGTGACACCCAATGATTGTGAGGAAGTTCCCTCCAAAAAAAAGAAAAAATGGCCACAATTAGAAATTGAGAAGATAGGCTAAAGATTACCTTAAGTCTTACCCATTTTTTCTAAAAAGCTCTTAGCTTTTACCCATTCCTTCTAAGAAGCCCTCAACTTTTTTTTAACAACTGATCCCTTAAGCTTTACCACTTTGTTCTAAGAAGCACCCAACTTTCTTTTTCTGCTAACGAAACCTCCAGCCTAACAAGAAGAATTGGGTGGGGTAAAAATCAGGGACTTCTCAGAAGAGATGGGTAAAACTTAGGGCCTAGTGGTCAAAAAAGAAACTTGAGGACTTCTTAGAAGAATGGAGTAAAACTTACGAGATTCTTTTTCAAAAACAGAAACTTGAGGGCTTATTAAAAAAGACGGATAAGCCTTTGGGGCTCGTCAGACTATCCTCTCACGAGGAATTTGCATTTCAGGACCCTAACTCTAATTGGGTAGGTCAGGAATTTGGCCGAAACCCGTTAACCCGTTAACTGCCCTAGATCTCGGCAGACCCTCCCATTCCCCTCTCCCGCAAACTAAAACCCTGAAGCTCTCGAAACACTCTCAAATCCACTCTCTCCAACTTCTCCTCCTCTCCAAACCCTAACCCTAGATCTCACCCAGCGCGATGGCGGCGATGCTCCAGCCTCAGATCATACTTCTAAAGGAAGGCACCGACACGTCGCAGGGCAAAGCGCAAGTAGTGAGCAACATCAACGCCTGCACCACCGTCGCCGACACCGTCCGTACAACTCTCGGCCCGAGGGGAATGGACAAGCTCATCCACGACGACAAGGGCAACACCACGATCTCTAACGATGGGGCTACGATCATGAAGCTGCTCGACATCGTTCACCCTGCTGCCAAGATCCTTGTCGATATCGCTAAGTCTCAGGACTCCGAGGTGATGAAATTAGTTTTAGTTAATTCTATGGCTTTTGAGGTTTTTACTTTCTAGTTGGTTAGACCCTCGATGAAGATCTACAGGGATTCGACATCATAAGTAATTCAGATGTGGCGCTGTATGAGGACCAAGGAATGAAATGAGGACGAAGGTTGTTTTAATGTTCTGTGGAGAAGTTAACTCAGTGTTTGGATGTTAAAGATTCAATCTTTTTGGATGTTTACCAATATTCCAGGGTTTGTCTTCTGGTAAAAAGGGTAGATTTCCTGTGAAGTATCAACTAAGGCACAGTCTTAGTTGTAGGCGGTTTGATGTTAAAGATTGGAACCTGTACGTTCTTGTTTTTGTTTTATTTTTAATATCGATGAGGAAAAAGGAGTGGAATAAGAACTCGTTAACAAACACGTATTCATTTGGAAGTCGTTAAGGGACAATTATATCATGATCAACTAAAATTGTGCAATAGTGTGTATACGCAGTTTGATGTAATAAATTATAACGGAATATCTAAGTCAAATTTCAAAATGCTTGGTGGAAAAATAGAATTAAACCTAAAGGAACAATCAAAAGATTTCTTTTTGGATAAGAATTTTGACTGAAGTGAACGACTTAGCGAGTGATTTATTTTTCAATTATATCTTAAGGCACATGGTCTTATGTAAAAAACTTACAGGTGTCAACTAGATATTTTTGCACGCCTTGTAAGTTTGATTGAATGAAAGTAGAAGGACCTTTAAGGAATTATGGGCATGGGTTCTCTTCAGCCACTTCGTATTTCATATGGTTATTGATTAGGATACACTTCAATACTGTTATAAATAGCGGTAAATAGTCCCGTAATAGCTGTGCTAATAGCGTTAGCAGTTCCTTCCCGCTACGCAATCGCCCAATAGCGGTGATATATTGCAGAATATGCGTTTTTTGTTCGTAAAAGCGGCCAATAGTATGTCATAATGATGGGTTCTAGCAATCTAGCAATCTAGCAATCTAGTTTCTCTTCCCCCTACGAATTGCAGGTCCAAGGGCTGGAAAGTAGACCTAAGCTTTTGAGGCCTTGTTTGGTATTTGGAGTGGATTCAAGTTCCTTTCAAACAAAAGCATAAATCGTGAGAAAGAGTAGAAGTATGAAAGAAACTTGATTGTTAGTACGATACCGTATGATTGCTTAATGCCAAGACTTTTAGAAGTATGTGGTGGGGGGGGGGGGGGGGGGGGCTGGCTGTTGCAATTTGCTTTTAAAGCACTGCGTCTGCAACCGTCTTGTACTCCAGTCAATCGGAAAATGTAAATAACGCATCGCGATTCACCAACAAAATGATCATTTTCAATTTTGTTCATTTTTTTCTACTACTAAATAAAGTAATTTGGTTATTTTTCCTATATGACATAAATATCAAATTCACGTCAAATGGTGATATTAGTTTTCGTAATACTGCAAGTGAAAGAAAAAAAACTATATCTGAGAATATGAGTCAAATGGTGATATTAGTTTTCGTAATACTGCAAGTGAAAGAAAAAAAACTATATCTGAGAATATGATTCTAATAAAAATACCAATCTAATAATTCAGCGCTTTCAAAATCACCACAATAAAACCGAAGAGTGTCTAGCCGAGTTAGTAAGCTAACTATGAGCATTATTTTAATGTCTTAGCTTTGACCTTTCTAGAGAGCACCCACGTGAATTTAATTTCGTGAAATACATGAGATCGTGCGTTGGGGGTGCCCCTTAGGCCCCGTTTGGTTGCATCATAACAAGGCTCAAAGCCTGACAAAAGCTTCAGGCTTTTGTCAGGCTTTCAGCCTTTCTGTTTTGCAACCAAACGGGGCCTTAGTGACACCCAATGATTGTGAGGAAGTTCCCTCCAAAAAAAGGAAAAATGGCCACAATTAGAAATTGAGAAGATAGGCTAAATATTACCTTAAGTCTTACCCATTTTTTTCTAAAAAGCTCTTTGCTTTTACCCATTCCTTCTAATAAGCCCTCAACTTTTTTTTTAAACAACTAAACCCTTGAGCTTTACCACTTTGTTCTAAGAAGCACCCAACTTTCTTTTTCTGCTAACGAAACCTCCAGGCTAACAAGAAGAATTGGGAGGGGTAAAAATCACTGGCTTCTCAGAAAAGATGGGTAAAACTTAGGGGCCTAGTCAGGGCCGGCCCTGGGCTAGGGCCGGGGGGCGCAACCGCAAAGGGCCCCCACTGAAAAGGGGCCCCAAAATTTTATAAAGTTCTTTAATAGTATTAAGTATTTTATGGCCCAAAATCTGACCCAAAGGAAGATCATATTGTAGGAATTCAAACCGTCAAAGCAAACCTTAGTAAATAGAGTTGGTTGAAGTCATTGAACAAGTTAGTTAATTTGACGAAAATTACGAGATTTAGTAATCAATGAAATTAAACAATCATGCCTATTTGAGCTATATATCTCCGGATCTTCTTTCTACAATATCAATCCACCTCCTCATTTTTAGTAACAAATTTTAGCCGTTTAGAATTTTTACCGTTTGACATTCACTTTTACTCCTTTATAATTAACACTAACATTAAATAATTATTAATTTCTCTCATATAATACTCCACTATAAAAAGAGATTATATGTTCAATAAAAATTAATATAAGGTTGTCTATTAAAATCATACTTGTCCATCTGCTATTTGTTCTCAAAGGCTGATACAGTGATACATTGCAACAATTTTTTTGGTGATTTGGGCATTATCGTATTCATACATTTGATCAGGTGCTATTATTCTTTTTCTTTTACTTTGTTATTCTATTGCAAATTACATTTGTTATTTGTTTTAAATTTCATATAGTTGTTTAGTTATTTGTTTATTTATAAAATGGCACCTCGAAAATATTTATGCGGAAATGAAAAAAGGAAAAAAGAAAAAACGAGAAGAAGAACTTGTTGAATCACAAAAAGGAGCTATTGATAAATTTTTATCAAGAAGTTCAAATGTTCCTATAGTTAGCGAATCAAATGAAAATTTAAGTGATGAAAATATTGTTTCAAGTGAACCTATTACTGAAAATATTATGCCAAGTGATTTAAATAATGAAAATGTAGTTGATGATGGTCAATCTTTACCGAATTTTCATAATGATAATGTTATGCCAAGGGAATTTGATAATGAAAATCTAGGTGATGATAGTCAAGCTTTACCACATTTTGATATATATGAACCTAGCACATGGAAAAATCTTGATAACAAAGCGAGGGACATTTTAGTTGAGAAGGGATTTGAAAGAGAATTGAACATTAATTTTCCTTTAGATGAAGACCGGAGGAAATTTTCATATGCACATTATTCTAGAAAATTGAGTAATGGAGAAATTAGTGATCGAAAATGGTTGATTTACTCTAAACTTGTCGATAAAGTGTTTTGCTTTTGTTGTAAATTATTCAAATCTAATAGCAATACAACTTTATTAGCAAATGAAGGATTGAGAGACTGGAGACATTTGCAAAAGACTATCTGACCATGAAAATAGTATTGAGCATATGACTAATATGAGCTCCTGGAATGAGCTGAGACTAAGGTTGGGAAAAAAATGAAACAATTGATAATGAGTTGCAAAAACAAATTATGATGGAAAAAGAACGATGGCGACAAGTTTTGATTAGAATAGTAGCCGTCATTAAATGTCTTGCTAAAAATCATTTGGCTTTTCGAGGATCTAATGAGAAGCTCTATCAAAATAATAATGGTAATTTTTTGGGAATTATTGAGTTGATCTCAGAATTTGATGTAATAATGCAAGATCATGTTAGACGAATTCAAAATCATGAAGTTCATTATCATTATCTTAGCCACATAATACAAAATGAGTTGATTTCTCGTTTAGGCGTTAGTGTTAAAACTTCTATCATAAAGAGAATTAAAGAAGCAAAATATTTTTCTGTAATTCTTGATTGCACTCTAGATATAAGTCATCAAGAGAAAATGGTCCTAGTTGTACGATGTGTAAATATGTCAAGTAATGAAATAAAAATAGAAGAGTATTTCTTAGAATTTTTGAAGGTAGATGATACATCTGGACTGGGGCTCTTTAATGAATTGTTAAATGTATTAAAACTACTTGACCTTAATGTTGATGACATTAGAGGTCAAGGTTATGATAATGGTTCTAATATGAAAGGTAAACATCAAGGTGTTCAAAAAAGATTACTTGAAATTAATCCAAGAGCTTTATATATGCCATGTGCTTGTCATAGTCTCAATCTTACTCTTAGTGATATGGCACATTCTTGTGTTAAAGCTATCTCGTTTTTTGGAGTTGTGCAACATATATTTTCATTATTTTCGAGTTCTACTAAGCGGTGGAAGATCTTACTTGATAGTGTTTCTTCATTTACTGTCAAATCTTTGTGTAATACCCGTTGGGAGAGTAGGGTTAAAACTGTAAAATCCATTAGATTTCAAGCCCCTCAAATAAGATTGGCTTTGTTAGAATTATATAAATCTTCAGAAGATGCGAAAACAAAGAGTGAAGCTGAAAGTTTGGTAACTGCAATTGAGAACTTTGAATTTTTATTTGGTATGATTATTTGGTATGACATTTTATTTGCTATTAACATGGTGAGCAAAAAATTAAAAAATAAAAATATGAACATTAATACTACTATGAAACAGGTATCAGATGTGATGTTATATTTTGAAAACTTTAGAAATGATGGGTTTGAGAAGAGTTTGGATATTGCTAGAAGTGTTGCATTTGATATGAATGTGGATCCTACATTTCCAACAAAACGCCGGATCATTAGGAAAAAACAATTTGATGAAAATGATCATAATGAAGAAATACAATCCACGGAGGAGTCTTTTAGAGTTAATTATTTTTTTATTGTTGTGGATATGGCAATCACTTCATTGAAAGAGAGATTTGAACAATTGAAGACATTTGAAAGCATTTTTGGATTTTTATGTGATTCAAATACTTTGAAGTCATTAGATGATAATAAATTAAGAGATTCTTGCAATCACCTTGAAAGAGTTTTATCTCATAATGATTCATCTGATATTGACTTAGTGATATGTTTTCTGAATTAAGAGTGTTGCAAAATACATTACCAGATGTGTCAATGACAGCACTCCAAAATTTGGAATTTGTTAAACATGTTGATTGTTATCCAAATGTTTCAATTGCCTATCGAATCTTATTAACCTTGCCTGTGTTTGTAGCCTCAGCGGAAAGAAGTTTTTCAAAGTTGAAGTTGGTCAAAACCTACTTGCGTTCAACAATGGCACAAGAAAGATTGAACAATTTAGCAATGCTATGCATCGAGAATGAGATGTTACAAAACATAGATATTGATTCCATTATTAACGAATTTTCATCAAACAATGCTAGAAGAATTTTTTTTTTGTAATTTTGTAATCTTATATTTAATTTCAATAAAATAAAATATCGTTGTTACAAATTAAATGTTTGATACTAAGAGGCCCCATTTTTTAACTTTGCCAAGGGCCCCGAATATGTCAGGACCGGCTCTGGAGCTGGCATGACCAACTCATTATGCAATAGGGAGGGGACACCTCACATGTCCCCTCCCTTGGTCTCATATTTTAGGTCCCCGTAGCAGCACTCTTAAAAAATTATGACCATTTCAATTGAGCTGCCATCGCACCGAACTCTATAGCATAAGTTCATTCTGTAAAAAATTGATTTCTACTACCAAAATTTTGTTTGAGAACAACCATGTCTTTCTAGATGCTTTTAGAAATATTTTTCTAATATTTCATTTGATGTAAATTAACTGATCAAGCTACAAATGTATGGATAGAGTGAGAAGGATTTTGATGAAGATGACCAACAATGAAGAAATTATGGGAAAATGCCATTAATATCTAGTCCTTACAAAGTAATTTTGATTATTGAAATTATCCTCACTTGCCAAATTTCTTTTGATTTTGTTGAGATATAATTTTCTATCTTTAACTGCTAAAGTTCAAATCTAAGGGCTATAATTGAGGGAAGATTTTAGATTAAAAAATCATTATGATTTTTCTTCATAAATGAACGACGCCATATGTTAATTTTTAGCGTGCTTAGATTTCAGCAAGCGGTTAAATGAGGATGTCACGTGTCAAAAAATTGTAAATAAATAAGCTAATGTGTCAAGCTCTAGATAGGTTGAAATCAAAAGGTTTTGCATTAGAGTACACACTAATAAATATTATAATATTTAATCACCTTTTGATTGATGCATAGTATAATTGTGGTATTTTGACCTCCTTCGAGAAAAATCATGGCTCTGCAATTGGTTATAATCAATCAATCTTCCTCATGATTAAGGCATACGATAATCTTTAGCAGCACATTTCAACTTTTAACCAGAAAATTCCAACATTTAGCTAAAAGAAGTAAATATTTAAAAAATAGTTGAATATTGAAGGGTTAATTTGAGAAAACCCTGCTAGCTATGTGGATGTGTATTAAAAACTCCTTCTCAACTATTTTAATTTATAGGAAATCTAGCTCAAATTTGGGGTACTGTGGATGACTCGCTCAATTTTCAAATTTTAATTAAACCCTCAGGACTATATGGTGTCTCACAAAGTGCTTCCTCACCTTGCACTTTTCTTAAAAATCCCTCAGATGTTGTCTTCAAATATAAAATGGTATCCTCTGAGAATACCCATTTCAATTAAAGTGAACCCTCCCAATCAGGTAAAAAAAATGCCCTGAGCTATTTTGTGATGCTTTTTCTGTACCTACAATCTTTTTCTCACATCCTTTTAAAATCCAGGCTAATTATTTATGGCCTAGGGGCATATTAGTCTTTCTAAGTTACATATTTGCCATGTAATACATAGAATTCCATAATATTAAGTCTTTCTAAGTTACATATTAGTCTTTCTAAGGTTTCGTTTGGATACTATGCTGTTTTTCTTGTTGTGTTTTTGTAAAAAACACCATGGTGTTGTATTTTTACCTTAAAATGTTTTCAAAACACCATATTAAGTATTTTTGGTCAACACTAGTTTGACCCATTATAACATTAGTATTAAACAAAAACACCATATTAAGTATTTTTGGTCAACACTAGTTTGACCCATTATAACATTAGTATTAAACATATTATTAATATATTATATATTAATTATAATAAAACATATTATAAATAAAATGTTATAATATATAGTTTACATTATTATAGTATTATAAGTATTAAATGTAATGTAATATAATATTGTATAATACATTATAATATTATATTGTACTTTAATGAGTTATATTATATTATAATTATTACATATTATTTTCAAATAATTATATATTTAATTATGTTGGTATATCAATTTGTTATTGTTGTATATTATATTAATATTTTTATAACAATGTTATTTTATTATTAATATAATATTATACTACTATTAATATAATATTACATTATAATATTATTCATATAATATAATATTATTAATAATTTTAATATTATGTTATTACTAGTATGTTATTAATAAATTAAAATATTATAAATATTTTAATATTATATAATATATTATAGTTTTTAATATGTTCAAAGTTTATAATATACTTTAATAACTATATTAGTATTTATATTTAAATAAAATATTCTATTATGAATATATTATTTTTACATTAACAGTTCGTACAATAAATATTATTATGAAAAATTATTTTACTTATAAATATTATATTATTTAATACAATAATATATTAATATTTATATATTCAATTAATTTCCTATACAAATGTTTTTCTATGTCTGATAAAACTATATTATACTTTGTTATGTTATTAATAAATATGTTACTATTATATAATATTATTATAATTATTAATTTATTACAATTTATTTATTAAAACGCTAATAAATATTAAGCAATTATAATATTATATATATATTATTATATCATATTAATTATTTAGTTATATTTCTCAATACTTTTTATTAGTTTATTCATAGTTTATTATTATTTATTTATTATATAATACATTATTAACATATTAAATATTGGTGTTTAATATGTTATTATATTATTATATAAGATATTTTATTTATTATGTTTTTATGTTATTTAATAAATATTACTAATATATTAAATTAACTATAATATAATATAGTATAGTATAATATAATAAACATGTTGATAATAACACTATATTAATTACATTTAATATATTATGCTAGATATATATTAACACCTTCTCAAACTCAAAACCAAAACACTAAACTTAAAACACCTAAAAGCTGTTTTGAAATAAGTGTTATGTTTTTGGTTTGAGGATGATCTAACTTAAAAAACACTATGGTTTTCAAACGCATAATATTTTATTTTTACTAAAAACATCGTGAAAATAAGTAAAATATCATGGTATCCAAACAGAAGCTTACTAGAACTAGTTGAGGAGGTTTTCGGAAGTTGAGGGGGGTTTAGTATTTTGGCCATGAAAACTATGAGTTATTTAAGCACTCATCAGCGAGGGGCTATTTCGGGAGAAGACAGATTGTCTCCAGCGATGTCAATAAAACCCTGCAAGAAACCTAACGCGAGCCCATATCAGTAGTCCCTTCTCTCTCCGCGAGAATTATTCCATGGACGAATCCGCGGCAAAATCAATGGAAATCGACGAACCTCGTACTGAAGCGGGAGATGCCGAGCGAGGACCAGAACCCAAAAACCCTAGCTCCCATTCCTCCTCCTCCTCTTCGGATTCCGATTCCGACGAGGAAGGAGTAGACGAGACTCAACTCCTAACCCTAGAATCTCAGCTCCAAGAGAATCCATGGAACTACGAAGCTCATGTTCAGGTACATCCATCAATTCTCTGGCTTCTTTTTAATTTTCCAATTCTTAGGGTTTCGTAAGTTATGGAATTTGTTCTGCTGTTTGTTTGGTTTTGGTTCGGTTAGTATATTCAATCTCTGAGGAGACTTGGGCATATCGAGAAATTAAGGAAAGCGAGGGAATCCATGAAGGAGCATTACCCTTTGACCCCTAAAATGTGGCAGGAGTGGGCCAAAGATGAAGTTTCCTTAAATAGGAGGTATTGTTTTCTGCTTGAATTAAATTTCTTTGAACCACAAGATTGATTTTATTTGAAATTACAATTTCTTAGCGTGGGAATATGAATTTTTTAAAATAGTAAGAAAGTTCCATTGTCGATGGCAATATGTATGTTCTTCATGAAAGTTGCATGATCCGAGATGTACATGCTATCGAAAATGTCCTTACAGAAACAGTTTCTATGGTCAAGGCTCTGGTACTCAAAGATTGCAATGAAGAAACTAATAAGACCAAGCGTTTAGACTCATCTGGAGAAATCTAAAAACACATGCAAGCCAAGAGCTTTTTAATTCAATTATGAACTTAAAGTGCAGCAGGGTCAAACTATTCGAAAGGAATGTTCAAAATAAAATAAAAAGAGGGTAACATAGGGGTTCTTTTTAATTAAACAATTTAATTTATGTATTAGAGTCATTATTACATGTATCAAGCATCTGTGCATGAGATAGAGCCTCAATGGGGGCCTGAATTAGTTAAATATTAAGCATCAGGAAGGGTTGCTTGATAAGGATACCACCTAATGATTCTACATTCTTTACATGAGTAAAGTGATTGTTTTCAGAGAGAAACATAAGTAAAATAAGCTAGAATCTCGATTTTTTGCCTTTCTTTCACTTGAAATACAGGTTACTTTCCCGAGGTAGACGCTTTTCTTGTACCCATTCTCTTATGCATTTACTATCTTGTAGTAGTGAATCTTCCTTTTGGATGTGGTTACACATTTGTAGTGTGATTTCTTTTTTCCGAGAGATCATTCTGTTCATTTAATGTCTATAGACTCTGCATGCTTTACATGTAACATAATAGAGTAAAAATTTCCTGCTAAAGTTCTTTCTTTGACATGGTTTTCCTTTATCCTGTAGTTCAGAAGTTTTCGCTGACATTGAAAAGCTTTATGAATGTGGAGTACATGAGTACTTGGTAGGTTAGATTTTTATATACCCAGATTTAAATTTCGTTGAATTAATTTATAGGATGAGTGATTGACCTCATTTACATGCAGTCTGTGCCGTTGTGGTGTGATTACTTAAATTTTGTTCAAGAATGCGATCAGTTGGTGTCTCAATGTGCACCGGATGGCATCCTAAAAATGAGAAGCTTATTTGAACGGGCTCTTACTGCTGCTGGAGTGCATGTGGTTGAAGGCAGCAAGATATGGGAAGCATACAGAGAGTATGAACAAGCGATCTTTTTGACAATTGGTGATGACAATAATGAGGTTAGTTTCATATGTGAATATGTGTCAGTATACTTTGTAGTTTAAACAGAACAAAATTGTTGATCACTATACTGTTTTATCTTTCAGGAAAAATCAAAACAGGTTGATCGGATACGTACTTTATTCCATCGACAACTATCTATCCCCTTAGTGGATTTAGAATCAACATTAGTTAATTACAGGCTTTGGGAGGTGGAACAAGGGAACACTAGCGATATGAACTCGGAATTGGATGGGGTCCCTGCTAATGTTGTCTCTGCATATAAAAAAGCTTTGGAAATGTATAATGCTCGAAGCATGTATGAGGATCAACTGTCTAAGAGTGATATTTCTGATCCTGATAGATTTCAGTCTTTTATGGTATGGTGATAGCTTTTATCTCTCCCCCCCTCTGTGTGTGCGTGTGTGTATCTTTGTGTGCATGTGTGCATGCTTGCTTGCGTGTATGTTGGTTGCACCTGCTTCATGTTGTGTTCCCATGCACATTCATGTGCCTGCACGCTGCTTGTCCATCACACACGTTTGCTTTCTTATTGTCTTACACATGTTTCTATGCAAGATTTTTGATGGACCCTACGCTCTTGCTTTCTGTTTGTCTTGTTTTTTTTGTTATGTTTAGAAGAGCGCTGTTTATCTGTTTTCCTTTCAAATGTCATACTACAAAATTGTGCTTGTCTTATGTGAACTTTTGTTTTTTGAAGTATCTATGACACTTCTATGTGTTATAGAAGCTAATTACCGAAGATTGCCCATTTACGGAGTGCCAAGCAATCTGGTCCATGTTGGCAATGTAGGCATGTGAGGCACGAAATTTGAGTGTGGTGCTATTCAAAGGGTTCATATCTGCTTACAACTAGAGTTTGATAGTTTATGCTTTTTTGAGCTGAAATAGTTAATGAGATGAAGCTGTTAAAATTGAGCTCAGGGCAATTAAGTTACAAACAATTTACAATCAGTGGCTCCTGAGTATGGGAGTCAGGTAGTGCCACATCTTAATGGAGAGATATAAAAGGGTATATATGCTATAGTTGGATGGACTCTGAGAAGAACAAAAGGAATATAGAGACTTCAAGCTTATTTCACGTTTTACAGTGAGATATCTGGAAGAATAAACTATGAGAAATTACAGGTATTACTAGGAAGAAATTGGCACGCTATATCATGTAGGTTTCCTTTTAACATAACAATTCAAATTTATATTCTGAAATAACCCTCCAAATTTACCATAAACAAATGAATATGTTGTATCATTTGTCCTAGTCATATTCTTTGTTAAGTTTTCTTTGTGCTCCCTTGTGGGCTTGATATGCATAGGTGCATGCTAGCTACTTCTTGCTCTTTATTGTTCCCACCATCATCCATGGGGAATTTATCATCTAAGCTACAGAGGAATCAAGGAGCAGATTTCCTGGTATAGAAATGAGTTTTTGATCCTTAGGGGGGATCCTAGGAGGAGTATGACAAATTTTGAGTAGTTCTTGTAAAACCCAAACATGATTCCAATTCAAAGCTCATTTATAGATGCACATGAAGAACAAAGATGTACAGACCATTTGCATAGCCATGTGATTGTTTTTTGTGTGTGGATAGGCTCTCTTGTTGGAGCTCTGATATGACCGATTATTATCATATCTTCTTATTTTTTCTATTATTTATTTTCCTTTTTTAGTCTAGGGAGTCATTTTAGTTGCTCTTTGTTTCCATGATCTTAAATTGTTAAGTAAGATAATTTTCCCTGTCTGACAATTGATGCTCAATACTTTATAGGACCACTACATTCATTTATTTTGACTGCGACCTAAGAGTTCATTAAATTATTACATCGAGTCAGTATACAGCTTCATACTTCTCTACATGGTGCTTTAATTCATTTAAACAGCTTTAAATGGAAATTTGGCATCGCAACCATTGCTTCTTTTGATTATGTTTTGTGTTTTTAATCTGCCCTTGAACCCAGATTATTGATAACAGTTTCTTAATCTTATCGTAATCATTTTTAATGTAAAACATGCTAGAATGGCGATCATACGCTAATTATGTGAAACATAGACAATCTTTGTCTAATTTGCATACCAGTTTTCTTTCTATAAAAAGAACTATTCTGTGCTAAGACAGTGCCCTATCTAGTTATTCAACATAGAAATTATATGACAATATGTGACACATTCATTAAATCATCGTCTTTTATCCAGGTGAAATATAAATTTGCCTAAGTTGCAATTCCAAACATCAAACATGGAGGGTACCCATGATTATGATTGCATATGTATTGTTATTTATCTTACTGTATTCTAGCAGACATGCACGTTTGCAGTGTTGTAAATAGCGGCCAATAGCGGGGCTATAGCGGCGCGAATAGCGGTCACGGCCCTTCAGCGCTACGCGTAGGGGTTTCGCGGCTGGCTTAAGCGGGAAAATCCGCTATTCATTCGAATAGCGCGTAAAAGCGGATTTTAGCGGGTTAAAAGCGGGTTTTCACGGTTAAAAGCGGATTTTCGCGGTTAAAAGCGGATTTTTGTTGTTAAAAGCGGCTAAACCCGCTATCACACATATTATGATGCTATATTTCTTGAATTTCTTCATAGTTTCATTCATACAACAAGCTTATTAATTGTTATTTATTGATAATACAAGAAATTTACAACTAATTGAATTTTTAGATTTTTTATGAATTTTCTTATTATTTAGGATATTTAAATATATTTAAAATTGACCGCTATTTGACTGTGCACTATTTGCCGTGATTTCGCCGCAATAGCCCGATATAGCCTTAGCGGTACCTCTCCGCGACGCGCCGCGATCCGCTATCAGCAACCTTGCACGTTTGTATGTATTGAGCTCCACGTCTAGTTCATTTTTAATTCCTAGTGACATAAAAGTTGTATGACAACATGCGGCTCATTCCATCGCAGCGGCCCCTTTTAGCAAAGTGAAATGTGAATTTTCTTAAATTGCAAATGCACATATTAACACATGAAGGACATTGGATATGGATATCCATGATTATGATTCCATGGGTGCTTTTTGATATTTATCTCATTGCACTCTTTAGACGTGTATATGTATGTACTGGGCTCTAAGTCTGTGTCTGCTTTGTCCGTGTGACATTTAATTCTTCGTGGTTTTAGTAGTTTGTTTCACTTTCATGCCAAAGGACATACCAAATCTTATTGAAGACACCATTTACCTTTTATTGAGAACTTATTACCTTGGACAGGATAACAGATGTACCTTTAGGTATAAACATCCCGCAAAACAGAATTTCGATCCTACTACAATTTTACACAGCTAATCACTAGAACCTTTCATATTGTGTGCTATCCTATGTTACCTGGGTACTTCTATTTGAAGCCGTACCCGACACATACGCATGCCTGTGCCCACACTTCTTGGATGCTTCTTGAATATATGCATAAAGTTTATTTGGGTGGGTACTCAATTTTATAATACATGTTCATTTAAAACACTCGTCATACACTTCTTGAATGTATATCCTACGCTTCACAACCTCTTCTTGAAAATCGCTAGACATGTGTCGAGTTCGTTTTAGCTCATACCTAGTTCAGAACTATGATTTTAGAGGCCTGTTTGGAAATCTAGTTCAAAAAACAAGCATCTTTCCAATTTATAATCTAGACAAATAGAAACATAAAAATGTTATCGGAATTTTAATTCTCATAAGATGTGAATGGAAAAACAATATTGATCTCACATAAATTATTAATTTTAATACGTCTAATTATACGTATTAAGCTACCTTTCACAAATTTCCCATGTCCCGTAATGATACAGGTACTGGTACCCATTTTCATGCAACTTAGGCGTTATCCATCAAGAAGAAATTTGATATTTGACTTGCCAATGATTTTTTGCACGAGCATCTGCAGCAGCTTGGCCATAGATTGAGTTACTATTTTCAAGTCATGCCTATTTTTAGTATTTTGGCAGAAAGTTGAACAATTTCCTTTTGATGTTACATTATGTGCAGTGCGTCCGGCAACCTTCTCATTGTCTAATCTTTGCAAATTATATATTATGTTATGCAGAACTATATCAAATTTGAAGAGTCCTCTGGTGATCCTGCTCGTGTGCAGGTTCTTTATGAGCGTGCTGTCTCCAAGTTACCCTTGTTCAGTGAATTATGGTTAAAATATTGTAGTTATTTGGATACTACTTTGAAGGTTTTTTTCCCTCACTCACGACCTTGTTTAGATTTGGTCCATTTCGTTGTATATCTTTTTATTAAGATTGAGATCGTCATTTTCCACAGGTATCTCACATTGTCAAAGATGTGTATTCTAGAGCTGTTAGAAATTGTTCATGGGTTGGAGATCTTTGGGTCCGTTACCTGCTGTCATTGGAGCGCTTAGGTGCTTCAGAAAAGGAGCTGAGCGCTGTGAGTTTATTGTGTCCATGATTCTATCTTTTGAGGTTTAATGAAGATGGCTTACTAGTTAGCATTTTAATTGAGGATATCACTGATAGAATGCTAACTTTGTTATGCTTGCAGTTAGAACAGTTAGATCCATATTCTGCTGATTGACAATTTGATTTATTCCGTGGCATATACAATAAATTTTCCTTATACTTCTTTTTTCTTAGTATTCTAACGCTTATTCAAAACCTTTAAGATATCCTCGGGTGATATAAGTAAAGCATGTTAGCAACAAATTTTATATTGATTAACCATAGTAGAAGCTTACTAAATTAGCACAAACCCAATAAGGGAGTCCTGTCTATACTTGCATCAGCCTGTGAATAACCTTCACATTGAAAATCCACTCTGTTGATTGTAGATATGACTGCTTTAAATACAGGATGACTGAATAATGCGAGTTGATTAGATTTATGGTTATCAGTTCCCAAAAGATTTCAGTTGAAATTACTGATACCCAAACATTGTTAAAACAGACTTTACTGCAAGCTATTCATTTTGAGATGGTGTATATAAATAAAAGAAACCATAGAGCATCTCAAGGAATTTAGATGCTATAAAATTGTGACTTCTATATATCAGAAAGCTGTCTCCTTTCCTGCAGTCAAAATTTTCTACTGGTTTCTCAAAGGTTTCAGTTTCCAAACTTGTCATAGATATTCAAATACAGACAAGTCTTGAACATATAGGTTTTTGGACATTCACACGTAGATACATATGGTAATAGGAAGTTCAAACATGTCATGGAATATTCATGTGGGTAATTTCCTTGATGTGGAGGGGAGCTTCTTTGCGAGTAATTTGAGGTGAATATGTCACTGTGTCAATCATGATATTCTTTGCTTCTGTGTTCGTCTTCTGTTTCTATTCCCCAAATCAAGTCGCATACAACATATACATAACTAGACTGCTTCATTGGCAGTCTAACTAGAAGTGTTTTGCAGTTATACACATCACTAATAAACTAGCCACATGTGGTGAACCCTGCAGTTATACACATCACTAATAAACCAGCCACATGTGGTGAACCCTGAAATAATCAATCATATAATTTTACAAGTTTATTAGACTTTTGTATTTTTCTTATGTTGATTTCTGATCATATAAATTTACAATTCTATCGTTGTATTTTTCTTATGTTAATTACCTTAAGTTTAGTATGTAACAATTAATACTTATAAATTAAAGATATAGAATGTCTGTTGGTTCGTAGTTATGCTTCTTTGCTTGCTTACGTTAGGAACGCCAACTTAAGTATAACTTAACTCACTACTTAAGAAAATAAGAGAATGGAGTATATACAAATTAAAGAAGGTTTTGTTCAGCTTATCTACTTATGCATATAGTTTGTTTCTCTTGGGTTTTAGGAGACTGCAAGATTTTCATGTATCTACACCATTTAAAGCTTTGGCAAGGTGACAATCCTATTATGCTTTCTTCCTTCACTTTGCCTGCCTCTTTCTATGTCTGGAATGTGGACCAGATAACAGTTTGAGTATCTTTTTCTTCATCTGCCAAAATTACTTAGTGAGATGAAACATTGTTGACGCATTTATCTTGTTATACAACTTGCTATAATAGCTGCAAACTTCACTTTGAGTTAATTTCTAGTAGTTTTTAACAGTACAAGGTGACAATCCTATTATGCTTTCTTCCTTCACTTTGCCTGCCTCTTTCTATGTCTGGAATGTGGACCAGATAACAGTTTGAGTATCTTTTTCTTCATCTGCCAAAATTACTTAGTGAGATGAAACATTGTTGACGCATTTATCTTGTTATACAACTTGCTATAATAGCTGCAAACTTCACTCCGTGAGGCTTTCCTATCGCCCTCATGTGCAAATACGACATCTCTGAGAGAACAACAAGAGAACAACAGTGTTAGACGTTAGACGTTAGATGATTTTCTTCATTAGTTTTTAAAATGAAAAAAGTCTTTAGCTGAGAACCTGGTCTGAGAGAACAATGTCGTGTTAGATGATTTTCTTCATTAGTTTTTAAAATGAAAGAAGTCTTTAGTTGAGAACCTGGTTTAGGATGATGAGCCATATGAAGTATAGGAGTAGAATATAAACAACGACATACCCAGCATATATGACATTAATCTCTACTTTTTTAGAGAATTTTTAAAATAAAATCATGAGCGGAATTAGGGAAAAGAGGGGGAAATAATATATTTAGGTTCTTAACTCGAAACCAATTGGTTGTTGAAGTCCATTTTCCTGTAAGAGACTCAATTGGCTGATTGTTTTCCTCACCACAACTTCAGAGCTGTGGTGTAATAATGGTTTGAGACTTTTAAGATGTATCAGAGCAGCCCAGGTTGGAATCTTGCGGATCATGACTTTAAAAGCGAATTTTCTAATAATTGACACTATTGCGTGAGCCTTCTGCCCATAAAAAGATGCTCAACCTACGGGGCATATTAGAAGATAAAAAATATAGGCCTCAATCCTCACCATAACTTCGAAGTTATGGTGTAATGATTAAAAACTTTTAAGAGTTTCTGTTATCCAGATGGATCCAGTAGTGCATAAAGGTTTTACTAAAAGCCTTTTTAATAGGTCCATGAGTGATTTTGATAGGAGGCTCAAGTTGAATTACCAGGTATTGCACTCTTCATTTATTTCTGCTCTTTCCCGATTCAAGCAGATGATGACTACTTTTAGTAGTGCGAAGTGAAGTGACTGATTCTTAATTTCCTAATACTAGAGAAAATGATAAGGTGGAGGAAAAACTTTGAAAGTTGGTGATTGAACCATTAGTAAATAAATAGGGAGGAATGATTGGCTTATGGTTAGTGTTGGCGATTGAATCACTAATAGATAGATAGAAACTAAGGTGTCGACGAGAGTTGAGAGGAGGGGTGGTGAGATAAAAGTTGGCAAGGTTTTGGTGTGAATATATATATATATATATACACACGCGCGCGCGCACAAACACACACATATGTATATACATATACATATATGTATACATATATGTATATGTATATACAAATATGTATACATATATGTATATACATATATGTATATACATATATGTATATACATATATGTATATGTATATGTATATGTATATATACAGATATGTATGTATACATATATCATACTCCTATACACACACACACACCCCCCTATATATGTATCTGTGTATATATACGCCTTTATATATTATATATACATACATATATGTATACAATATCAACACTTATATGTATGTGTACATACATATATGTATGTACATACATATATGTATGTATACACCTATACACTAATATATGTATATATATATATATGTGTGTATACACCTATACACTAATATATGTATATATATAGTGTATACACCTATACACTAATATATGTATATATATATGTGTGGGGGGGAAATATGATTCTAAGGAGCCACCTTAGATTGAATCTAAGATTGCAATTACGTTATATGTAATCAACTTGCTCGATCCACTCCGTTCATTTTGATCTATATATTTTGGATGGTGTACAACAACAATAACGAAGCTTTTATCCCAAAATATTTGGGGTTGACTACATGAATCATATTATTCCATTCCATTTTGTTATGTGTCATCTCCTTTGTTAAGTTAGTCATAATCATATCCTTCCAATCTGCTTCCAACCAGGTCTTTTTGGGTCTACCTCTAGATCTCGTAGCCCCATTAACTATAATATTATCATTTTTCTAATCGGTGCACTAAGAGGTCTTCGTTGTATATGACCAAACCATCTTAATCTATTCTCTCTTATTTTATCATCAATAAGAGCAACATCTAATTTACTACGAATGCACTCATTTCTTATCTTTTCTTTTAATGTATACCTATAAGACCATTGTAACATTTTCATTTCTGCTACACATTTTTTACACATGTTATTTTCTAATTGCCCAACACTCAGACCAAGACCTATAAAGCACAATTGGTCTTATAATCATCCAATACAATTTTTCCTTTAGTTTCATTGATATTTTACGATCACATAAGATTCCTGAGATATTCCTCCATTTCAACAATCTCATATTTGATTTAATGTATATAATCATCCTCTGTCTCACCATCATGCCTAATGATTGATCCTAAACAGTGAAAATGATTACTTTTATGAATTTCTTGACCATCAATATTCAAGATTATTTTCTTTTCTTAGTTTTACTAAAACTATACTCTATATATTTTGTTTTTGTTCTACTAGTTCTAAAACTTTTAGATTCAAAAGCTTGTTTCCATCTTTCTCCTTTAGAAATTATACCTCTTTTAGTTTCGTTAACTAACACTATATCATCTATAAATAACATACACTATAGGATTTCATCCTGAATGTACCTAATAAGTTGGTCCATAACTAATATAAAAAGGTAAGGACTTAAGGTTGACCCTCGGTGTAAACCTATAGTAATAGGAAACGATTTAACCTCTCATTCATTAGTTCGTACTCTAGTTGTTACTCTATCATACAAATCTTTAATTACATCAATATATAAACTAGATACATATTTTTTTTCTAAAACACACCACATTACCTCTCTACACTATCATAAGCTATTTCTAGATCAATGAAAACCGTATGTAGGTCCTTTCTTTTCTCTCTATATTTCTCCATCAATTGTCTCAAAATATGTATAGATTCCATAGTTGATCTCTCGGGCATAAAATCAAATTGATTTTCAGATATACTCGTCTCCTTTCTTAGTTTTTGCTTAATTACCCTCTCCCAAAATTTTGTAGTATGACTCGTGACTTTTATGCCACAATAATTTGAACAACTTTGTATATCTTTTTTATTCTTATATGTCGGTATGTAAGTACTAATCCTCCACTCGTCAGACATTCTCTGTGTCTCAATAATCTTATTAAATAATTTAGTTTACCATCCTAAGCCTATATCTCCAAGACATCTCCAAACTTTAATAGAGATATCGTCCGGTCTTATGGCTCTTCTACTTTT